AGATATCTCCACAGAAACGCATACCCGGTTGTGGAACAGTTTCCGTAGCCGACAAATGGAGTAGTTGTCTTCTATCTTGATATAGTTTTCTTTCTGTTGCCGTTTGAATGGGCAAAATGCGAATGAATGAAAAAAAGAAACAGCAAGACTAAAAAAAAAGACTAAAGAAGAAAGACTAATGAAACTATTTCCTGGGTATGCAAACCTTAGGTTGCTGGCCAAAGTGGCCACTACTTTAATATATAAAGCTAGTATAAATTATATATTTAACAACTGTCCTCTTTTTTTTGCCACAAAAGCTCATGAGCTGCTGCGCATGTATCCCGCATGTTAATAAATCACCGCCTTGCCACGGCAATTGATTGTGAACGGGGGTGGGGTATCATGAAAAACAAGTTGTCTTCGTTGGAGAAGTCATTTGTCGTTGGGTTATTATTAGAGCTCAAGCACTTTTTTGGTCTGATAAAAAAGCATTATTATTAAATAGTAGTCATGTATGAATACATGCATGGCTAAAATATGGGTGCAAAAACGTATGTAAAATCATGTCAAAGGCCAAAAAATTATATATATATATAATATATATATAATATATATATATATATAATATTATATTATATTTATATTAGTTCAAATATCGGCCTTGAAGACCTGAAGCCTCAGCTCAGACTTTTTGTAGCCGAAGAATGGCAGCCGGCTTCAATGAAACGATTCCAATAATCATAATTGTATCATCTTGCACTCTGGGAACTGCTTTTAACACTTGGTGAACTTTAATCCCTCGCCTCCCCAGTTTTTAACACTTTCTGCTTAATATCACGCCACCGCACGTGCAGAAAGTCAAAACAGAACATTGCACAGATGTTGTCGAGATTGTTGTTTCGAGCTTGATCACTATCGGCGACAGAAGGAAAGAAATCAAAATAACTTTTGAACTCATAATTATTTCTCATGCATTATGTGTCAAAAATAGAGGCTACGTGCGGTAGAGGTTAACCATTATAAGAAATAGTTAATATGAATAAATTATAATATGCGATTAAAATATCTAATGTAAGATATCCTATCAAAAAATGAATTATTTACACTGAGTATATTACTGTACACGTTTGTGTTTACCACTTTCGGTTTGGCAGTAAAGTGCGGGATCCAAAAAGACCCCAGGTATAGTTATGGTACAAAATAGCAGATATGGTACGACGGTTAACGCAGGAGGATGGCGGCCATGTGTTTGTATATACTTCCCAAAAGAGACTGAATAGTTCAAATCCCGTTTCGATTCTTACTTCGCAATGCACCTCCGAGCAGAGTATGCAAGTTCATTTGCCAACAGACGTTAAGTGATTCAAGTGCGAGGAAGGAAGTACATGGTGCAAGTGGAGTGGGTGGGTCCGTACTCATTGTCCTGAGAATACTACCCTCGGTGGTCACGAGTGGAAATCATCCAGTCATGTTGTGCTATGATTCACAAGAAACGGGCTTGATGTTGGTATCTCGTTTTCGAAGAAGTCATTAGTTCTGGGACTTCCTCTGTTGAAGTTCATGATCTTGTTCGGAGAGTTTGGTTGAAAAGCCAACGTTACGATAATCATTTTCGAATTTTCTGCAAGGATGCGTGCTTTTAGATGGTAGCAACCTCTGAAAGCATTTTCTTGAAGATAACGAGCTACCACCATTCGTAAGGTAATAAAAGAAAAAATCGTCGATTTCTTAATCAACGGTAATATATAATACCACTAGGAAGAGGGAAATATTTTAATCAGTTTTATGTAAAAATACCCAGGTACAAAAAGAAAATGATTATTGTATGTAACTTTTATTCTTTCCATTACATGCCCTCAAATAATAATTTTAATAATGACATATTACAGTAATTTAACAGTGGTATAATATGTTCAAAAGCATCTCCAAAATTATCCACAGGTTTTGGTCTTTGAAGATGTCAGTGCGACCCTACCTAAAGTGGTTTAAAACGCAGAATCATACCAACCGAAATTGCTTCCTAGATTATAACATTTCCTCACTGCTTGGCGATACAAACTCCTGTTCGTTTTTTGTGCTGCACACGTGACTCTACTGGTTACATAAAGCTGCCCATTTCCGTTTTTTCGTCTTTTTTACATCTAATGTATGTTCATGCATTGAACGTGTGTAGAATTATTTCGGCGTATGATGTCTGTCCGCATAGTTTTTTGCTTCACGCGGAAACTTAAATTACTATTTACAAGGACCTGATATTTTGAGCGTTTTTCTTTGACGGTACAACTAACCAACTAATAATTCATATACATGTCAAATAAAGCGGTCATTGCATCTTTCTTTTTCAAAAACTACGTTGAAATAAAGCGTTCTACCAATAGAAAGTTTTAAAAAATTCAGATTTCCTAGAATATTAAGTAGAATAGCAAATTGAGTGTATTAAAGTAAGCAAAAAATACTATTTAGGAATTAACAGGCATTATACGAATAGTTATAGCGTTTATCAATACTCTTTCAAATAAATGATATATTGGTCAAGTTAGTATTATGCAAGGGATTTGCTTATTCACTCTAATATTCGCCCGTTATCTAGTTTTCTTTTGCTAACATCAATAAATCCAATACAGCATATTTTCTATTTGTCATTTGTTAGTATTACCACGTTCAAATTATGTACCGCACAGTACATTAAAATTTATTCCCATCATATATTCACTATGTACCGTCACCCTTATAATTAAAAATGTTAATAATATCATTCAAAAAACTTAGAAGAATGTCTCCAGAGTATCTATGAAATAGTGTCTCTGCAACTATCAGAGTATTTTGCTTAAAATTACTTCGTCATATGCGAAGTAATGTATGAAGTACTCTCAAAAAAAATCCCGTATGTCCTCAATTACAAAACGAAGTAAACATCAATTATCGTTGACAATAAATCATCATAAATGTACTGCGACAAAATACACAAACTCTAAGCAAGTGATTATCACGTCAATAGAGTCACCTCCACACTAAGAGATTTACGATCGGGCAGAAGGCTGCTAACAAGTGAGAGGAGCGCTTCATTTGTCATTTGCGTCAGGCGTGCGCCCTCTGCATCGATAAGCGCATCTCGCCGCGAAGCTCCCAGCCGAGAACACAGCAGCGGCCGGCCCTCCAGCAGTGTCCCCGGTCGCCCGCTCGCATGGATCGCGATTAATCAACATCGACAAACGCTCGCGCCCACGCGCCTCTGCTGGCACCTTCTTCCCCGTCTCCCACCCCTACCGCCACCGCCGCAGCTGCACCCACCTCCAGTCAGTATATGTAAAATTTTCAAACATCCTTCTTTTGCATTATCCTATTTTGATCTAAATGAAATTAAAATTCAACCAATTAAATACTACTAAAAAGTAAACATTTTAGTGACAAAAGTTATAGAATTGCTTCTAGTAACAAATAATTTTTTCCATTGCATATTAAACTCGCATAATTGTCTCCTTAAATTACCGATTTTTAATATAGTTTTCCCCATCCTTTTTTTTATTATAATATAAAATTTTGATATTCATTTTAACAATACTTCAATCCAAATGAAAGGTCTGAGGAACGTATTGGTTAACGAGAGTCTCCTGCCACCGAAGTCCACTGGCAACACCAATTCCGAAGCATTTATTGCCAAAACTGGAGGCTACGTGCAGTAGAGGTCAATGATTGTATGAAATATTTAATATGAATAAATTATATTACGTTATTAAAAATATCTACTATCACATCTCCATTAGAGCAACAGCAATTGTCAGAGCAACCGACACAGTCGTAGCCAAAGCTTCAAACATAGAGCCACAGACATAGCCATAGCCACACCTATAGACGCAGTAATAGTCAAACTCGGTCAACCGGAAGTACAGTCATGGCCACTTCCACCTCTTTGTGCATCTGTTCACACGCACATCGCGCCAAACAGAACGTCCCATCGGCAGCCCCGTATGGGGTAACACGCTTTGCGATTAGGAGGGTGAGGATAGAGAGCAGGGGTCACAATAGTAACGAGAAGTTGTCGCTTACGGTGGATTCGACGCAAGTGGTGACGGCGGTTCCGCCAGGAGAGAAGCAACTACTAGTATACGCCGTAGGTATCACACGAAAGAGACGTTTAGAGCCCCGTGCAGCAAAAAACCCTCTACCGCACAGGGCCAGGCGTTCCGCGCGTTGCGAGTTGGTGCAGCATGTGACGGTCAGGCCGCTGATCCGAAACCCTAGGTCAGGCGGCGTAGAGGCACAGCGTAATTCAGCATACGGAGCAATGCTTATCAATATATTCACGATCGTGGTGACGGGACATAGCGAACTCCTGGCTCCTCTCCCCACGTTATGAGTCCCCTATATGTCTGGCGCACGCAATATATAAGCCATCAAAAAAAACTGCGAGCTCGATGACCGGTGAAGCGAACTGAATTGTTCATAAAGCCCATGCACGTATCGGTAATATCAATTATATAACCCATTGGCTCAAATCTGAAAAGAACAATAGTATTGCCAGTAGTCAGTAATTGAAATTTCAGATTAGCAGGTATGCATGCTTGTGTCCATCTCACATCAATATCCGATTAAAATAAACATGTGATTGGTGGTTTTAATCGAAATACTTAATGCATAACATTAAAGCCAATCTAATTTATAACATAATCAAAACATACTACTGACGTACTTGGTAATGAGGCATCGTATATACTGACTTTTTATCGGAGATTTAAAAAAAATCGTGAAAAGCAGCTACTGCTGAGACGGTAATTTCTTTGAGACGAATAGAGTTGACGATGTACCGTCAGGTGAACGATGTATGGGCATATGGAATGCAAAGGTAAAAAGATCAGCAAAAACAAGTGAAATCGAAAGGAAGAGAGATGAAGTGGAAGAACGTAAAGCAGAAAGGAGAGAAGAGGGCAGAAGGGTTGACGATTTGGTGGACGAGAAGCCCGACGTGCATGAACGGCAGTGGTTGCAAGGTTTATAATTATTCCCCACACCTGTGCTAACGGAGCAATGTTCACCAGGACACACATCTTTAAAATTGAACTAGTTTTAAATATCGACGGTTGTAAATACTGCCGCCGCCTTATAATGAAAGTAATTCCATTGCAAATCATAAACATATTCATGATAAGGAAACAACAACAACAATCGTTCTAACAGAAATATTTCGTCTTACATACTAACAATAAAAAATAAATACGCCTTCAATTTTCATATTCCTTGGTAAATATAAAGACCCTAAGATTGCGAAAAAATGATTAAATTTAAAAATTTTGAAAGCTGAATTGTTTATTTCCGTTAAGTAGAAGCGTAGAGAAATACAAATTGAATTAATTAAATCATATATCATAAAGCAAACTTTAAATGTCATCTATTCCATAATCCATTCACCTGCGTACCAACACTTCATCTTAGCACCAATCAACAATAATGCACGTACTTCCCGAAAGACTTATTTCATCGACCATATACATAAACACACATTTTTCTTCTCTGGTTTCTTTAATATTTAAAATTTTATCTTTAAAAATGAAATAAATTAATGTTATAAACTACTTATAATTAATGTGTACTTAAAATGGGCCTTTAACACAAATTACTATACAAAAGTTCTGGTCTCTGCAATGAACTCCGGTAATTTGAAGAAATAGTAAAAATTGAACTGGCAATAAACACATTTAAAAAACGTGTTTATATAGTTTTGTTTAGCTTTTCGGGGCGAACACCGTACCCTGCGAAAAGGTAGCAGCAGCAGCTCCGAGGCCGCGAGAGCGCCGGCGGCAAGGCAAGGCAAGGGAAGGCAAAGCAAGGCAAAGCGGCTTCAACGCACGAGGCCCGACGCCACCGCGCAAGGGCTTATCTGCGCTCGGACACGGCCCCCGCCGCCGACCTCCGCTGAAAGCGACGCCGGCTATCAGATCGGCGCGCGCCCCGCGGCCGGCGACGACGTGACGCCGCCGCCGCCTCCTCGGCAACCCCCGCCCCTCGCTCATCGACTCCCCGCCCCCGCCGCCACCCCCGCGTCAACATCTCCTCCTCTGCTCCACCGCCTTTCCCTCTCCCGCCTTCACCGACTCCGCCACCGCCGTCTTCGCCTCCTCCACCCCGCTCCCCACGTACATCCACTCCACCTCCACCTTCGCTTTCGCCTCCGCCCCCGCGTCACCGTCATCACCTCCTCTGCTCCGCCGCCTACTCTCCCGCCTTCACCGACTCCGCCAGATCCGATGGATACCAGAAACCGCCTTCTCCACCTCCGCTCCCACGTTCATCGACTGTCTCCACTTTTGCCTACGTTTCCGCCGCCGCATCTCACTTGTCTCCACCACTACTTTCTCAGCGCCATCGTCTTCCCCTCTCCCGCCTCCCCAGCTTCCAGCCACCGCTTGGGTATCTGTCTCCACCTACACTCTATATTCCCTACTTACACCCACGTACTTCGCCTACGCTCCCACATACGGCTGGCTCGCCGACCCCGCATTTCTCGTCTTTCTATCCGGATTTTCGGATTCACTATCACCATCTTCTCTGGCTCAGCCACCTTCTCCTCCCCCACCCTCGCTTTTGCTTCAATCTCCAGCACCACCGGCACCTTCAGCTTCTCTTCCCAAGCACCCTCTCAGACTCCCGCATCCGCTTCCACAACTACCGACACTTCTGTCTCCAACGCCTTTTCCTCCGCCCTCTCTGCCCCCCCCCCGTGTCCACAAACTCTCCCTCTTCCGCCTCCGCACCGCCTGTCTTTCTCTTCACACCCTTTGCTCTCGCGTTCCTCTTCTCTGCCTCCGCCACTGCTTCAGTCGCCGCCCCCGCGCAGTCATCTTTCTCCAACTCCTCCTCCCTCCTCCGCCTTCGCCTCCATCTACATCGCCACCTGATCCTTCGCCTTCCTTTCCCCGCTTCGCCTCACCGACCCCCCATTCGCCTGCCCTGCCGCCTCCACAACTGGGACAACCGCCTTTCCGTCCCCCACCTGTCTCCGCCTCCGAGTCCGCCACCTCTTCTTCTGCCTCCGCCAACGCCTCGCCCGTCGTCTTCGACGCCTCCGCCCACGCGAAGTCCTCGAAGGTGCCGCCTCCTCTTCTAGCTCCGTTTCCGCCGCCCTCGCCTTCTGCGCCGCCTCCGACACTGGCGTTCCTCCTCCCCCCTTCTATCTCTGCGATTTCTCCAGTCGCCGCTTCTGTTCTCCTGTCTGCGTCACATCAGTGTAATCCATTTTCTTCCTAAAATCTTCTCTTACGTAATCTACCTCAAAAAGCTGTTCTTGCTATGGTGTCCCCCATCGTCCGATCCTGTCACCATCGTTTCGAAAATGATAATATCCTGAGATAATATTTTGTGCTTCTATGTTTAGCACAACATCCGAGTCTAATATGATTCCTAATATTTTGAATAGAACTCTGATGGCAACTCAATGTTTGTGTCTCCGTCGCCGTCTCTGAGGTCATCGTTGGACATGCCATCATGCAAGAAGAATAGTGATAATACTTAAGTGAACCATTGTGCATCTAAACAGACACGAGAAAGATATTCAACTGGCTTTCTTAAAAAAAGTGTAGTTAAAATCTTGGAGTAATTTCAAATTATATTCAAGAAATAGGAATAGAGGTTACAAAATTATTAAATTATGTATGTTTATTAAATTATGTATTAATTATGAATGTAAGGGAAATATGCGTGGTCAGACGAGAGCAAGCCTCACGGCCTAAGTCTCGACACGTAAAATAAGGCATCAATTCAATTAATCTATAATTAACACGACCATTTACAAAATCAACCATTGTGATTATACTCGAATCAATACCAATACCAGATCTTGGCGTAATGAATTAAGGAATAAGAACAATATAATGTTTTCATCAGACATCCCTAATGATCACCTTCAGCGCGTTAATCCGGCCGTCGGGATTGCTCCGGGAGGAGACAGTGCGGTCGAAGCGTGACTTCGGAACGGCGGAGTCGGAGAAGATGCTAAACAAGGCAGCATCGTCGGCGACAGCGGGCGCGAGTCTGGCCGCGGCAGTTTCACCGAATCTGCGCGATAAATCTTCATTAGACGGACGCGCTTCGCTCGGACCGCTGCTCCAGCCACCCCCACCCCCCGGCACCCACCTCCTCCGCCAGCGCGCCGCCGCGCCGCGCCGCGCCGCGCCGCGCCGCGCAGTCGAGGCGAGCGACAGCCCGCTTATTCTCGCGTGAACTTGTAATCTCGTTTGGCTTCTCCTCAACTAATTTAATGCCTCGTTATTTCTTGCTTTTTAATCTGTCTTAATAATTAACTCCCTCTCCCTCTCTTTCTCTCGGCCATTCACATAAACAAGTGACTGACGTCAAGCGCCCGCCGGTCGCCGCGCGCGCACATCTGACGCGCGGGAGGGCGTGCGGGCTAGCGGGACTTACCGCACGCGTGGCCTCGCGTTGCTGCACCCGCTGCCAGCCTCCCCAGTCCGGACGCCGATAAGACAACTAATTAAGCTAATGAATAAATTTGTAGTGTATAACAAGAAACAAAAATTACAGCGCTGCGTTGCGTTCCATTACTCCGCGACGGAAGCCGGCCCTCGCAGAGGGGAGAGGACGCGCCACCGGCCGTTTCGCCGCCCTCCGCGGTATACATTTGACAACGCCGCGCGGCGCGGTGCGCGGCACCCTCCGCGTGCCGCCCCTCTCCCCCACCTTCCCCCCTCCCCCCCCCACCGACGCCCTCCGCGGAAGAGAGCGCGCGCGGGGGCTGCGGGGTCGCTCCGAACGTCCTCGCGCGCCACACGCGGAAGCGCTGGCCCGGCCCAGAAACACGCAATAAAAGCGGAGGAGGCTTATCGCCATATAAATTAGGCGGGCGCGGTATCGCGTCTAGATTTCGTTGCTGGGCGCGCGCCCACCCTCTCTTTGAAGGCGCGTCAACGTACGACGTGTGCCCGGGGGGAAGGATAAAGCTGCAGCTCGCGTGTTGATAGAAGGGAATAGGAATCGAGTAGCTGCGGTGTAAGTGCTTCACTTTTCGTTTGCTGGTTGAGAGACTGATTCAACAGTCATTGATTTATCCCGGGGGTCAATTGCGATCATCAATACTGGGTGGGGAAACTTATTGTTTCTAGTAAGGATGTGTTTATCAATCGTTACTTTGTTGCCAAAGTCTCCGATCATTCAGATACTCATCCCACGGGAGTTGACATACATGTGGGTGGAAGGTTGTAAGATATAAAGAGAAATGTCAATCAATAAAGTATTCCATTTTTAAATGCGATGGAAAATTAAAGAAATGTATTTCAATGCCGAGAATGCAATATAGTAAACATAATCCAGCGATGATTATCCCCCTTTTTAAGGTGAGGAATAAGTCCCGGTATTCGACAATAGTTCGTAAAACGTTGTTTGTATCTTAACACCCTGACATTCCGGGACCAATTTGTGGTATGTAACAAATTCATTATACGTATGTACTACTTACATTCCATTATAATGCACAGTATGCTTATGAAGTACAATTCAATTATAAACAGTTTTGAATTAAATTAATGCATTTTAAGATAGTTCTGTAATTGGTTTGAAATCCATGTTTGTTTAATTTCTGTAGGCACAAATATTTAACATCAGCAATTCTGGGAAGGTTATCCATAGCATTTTGTGTTGAGCAACTGAAATGAGCAGACAAAAAAATAATGCGTTGACTTTTAAAAATTTAATGTTGAAGATCTTTTCAAACTGAAAATCACAGAGTTCGTGCACGCTATCAAGTAGTTTGCTCAACCATTGCAATATTCTTCCATAATTCACCAGCTCGCTTTCAAGTACTATTTCAGGCAGGAGAACCTTTACAAAAGGTATTCGTGTGTTCTACTACAGGATATTTAAGTAAAAACACAAAGAATACTCGTTTAATGTTCTCCGATTGCTTCTCAGCAGGGAGGATTCTTCCCCAAGCTTCTGACAGGGAGGACCTAAGGTTCAAGTCCCGACGCGGCAGGGGTTTCTACATCAGCTTGTCAGCAAGGTCGAATTCAGCCGATGTCTGGAGCATAATGCTAGCGGCCGACTGCTCTGATCGATAGTTTTCCGTGGTTGCACCAGGCGAATGCTGGAACACTACCCTAACGAATGGACTCTTCACCCCTAACCTACACACACACAAGTAATACACTACCATACATACCGGGAGCTCTGAACCTGTCCCGGCTGCGGGGTGCCCCGCTGGTGAGTGATACCTTGACGGAGAAAATCTCTCTGACCGACGTGTAGGATTTCGCCATCCAGCAGAAGAAGAATAATGCGACCTCCCACGATAAAAAACATGCACTACATTTACGGTACTAATGTCATTAACCGCTGACTCGCCCGAAAACACTAAGTAATCAATCAACTTAACACGAATAGGCTCCTTAACACAATTACAAGTCCTCAAAACGAAATTAAATTTTCAACCCCCTCCCATCTTCCACTCTGAAAACAGGTGCCCCCTTTCCCGAGCCCCCCGTGCCTCGGGGGCCCTGCTTCGACATTCTTTATCTGACGGCGGCGCCCCGCGGAAGGACGATACTAATTTAGGAGGCGTGATTAAAATTGCGAGGTGCGCCGCGTACGTTTTCTGAATGCAGCGGCGCGTGGCGTGCGATAGCTCCATAAAACCGGGCGTTATCTGGGAATTACTCGTGTTTAATCCCGGCAAATGCGCGCCGATTGGAGGCTGGGCCACCGCCACTGCCGCCGCCGCCGCCGCCGCATTCAACGTGGGCGAGGGCGAGGGAAAGAGCGAGGGCGCTTGGCGAGGGGCGTGCAGGGCGCGGGTGGAAGAAAGGGACAATGGGCGAACGGAACAGGACAGCAGAAGACCGTGGGTTTATGGTGGGTGGGTGAGGAAGAAGGGAACGACTGTGGGTGGGATGGCGGGTTGGGAAGCTCGAGGCAGCCAGAGATGCAGAGTGGAGATGGTGAGGGCGTGGATAGTGGGCACGTACGCGAGCGGCCGACAACGAGGTGTGGATGGACTAACCGGAGAACAGGTGTAAGCGAAGGGCGGCCGCTAGTGAGGATACGTGTGTGTGTGTGAAGACCGTGAGCCGTGCGAGTGGCAAACGCAAGAAGTAGTGTGGCAAGAAAGAACCGAAAGCGAGTGAGGAAATGAAAGCGGCAACGTAAGAGAGAAAAGACGGAGTGAATGTGCAACCGAGAGGGTGAGTGTGAGAGAGGAAAATCGGGGTGCGGGAAGGGAACGGGGGCGGTGGCGGTGGGCCAGAGAGTTGGAAGTAGGCGAATGTGTGACGGAACGGAAGGCAAAAGCGGCAGGCTGCAAGGGCAGGACGGGGCGAACGAGGTCGAGCGGAGGTGAACAGTGCCGAAAAAAACGTAGTTTGGGTTGAGCGGGAACGCCGGTAGGAGCAGACGGGGTGGGTAGGGACACGTGGAGGAGGTCGGTGGCGTGAGGGGCGGGGTGAGACAGGCGAGGCTGACGTGTACGGCTCAGGCACGTGGGGGGCGGGTGGCGGCTAGTGGGGTTTGTTGGGGTGGCGGGTGGCGGGCGGGGGAGGGAGGAGCAGGGGGGGAAGTCGGAGGGAGACGGACGCAGGCTGACGAATGGGGCGGGGACGAGTGAGGGGCCGGGACGGAGGAGAAACGGAGTTTGGCGGGGACCCGAGGCGTGGGCGGCACGGTAGGAGAGAGCAGGGACAGGCGGCGGAGCAGGCGGGTAGGGCGGGGACAACGGGAGGGGGCAAGGTTGAGGCCAGCGGGGGCTGGTAGGACATGCAGTAGGAAGCGGGAGAGAGCCAGCGACGGCAGGGGCAGGTGCGGGCTGCAGCGGGGGGGCGAGCCGTGGCAAGGGAGGGCGGGGCGGCGGGGCGGGAGGGGCAAGCCGGGGCGGGGCGGGGGCGGGGGCGGGGGCGGGGGCGGGGGCGGGGGCGTCCGAGTGCGCGGGCGAGCGGGCGAGCGCACGGGCGAAGCGCGGGCGCTTCAGAAATTCGCCAGCCTCCAACTTCGCGTTAAGCCCGGGCGAACTCGGGCCGGGCGGGAGGGCCGGACGGGCGCAACACATGGGGGCGGCGCGGGGCGGGGGCAGCGCGGGGCGGAGCGTCGTTAATTCCGCAGATGGACCGTCCCGAGGGCGAGAGCCGAAGGGTTTGGGTGATGGGGGGGGGGGGGGGGCGTGGTGACGCAGCGAGGCTTCCCGAACATGGAAGGAGGAGGTGGAGAAAGTTGTTCGAGTAACTAGGTGTAGAGGGGATCGTTTGATCAAGAATGCGACCGGCGACGGACATTTGGACAACGCGCGGAATGTTAAATGTAACAATGGCCGAGTTTTTCAGGACGGTCTGTTCGTGTCTGCCAGGTGTTCGAAACGATAGAACTTCAAGGGAATTATTTGTATCGAGAGAGTGATGAGACCATAGTGAAAATATAGTTATAGAAATGAAAAATGCATCATTTGGATTGAGATAAGATGTCGGGGCCTGTCAATCTGCGGGCTACGCTATGGCGGTTCTTACCATTTGTAAATGTTATTATTTTTAACGCAATCTTGTGTATTTAACATTGTGGGTGCAATGGAAGAAACAGAAACGTTGGCATATAGGTGATGCAATATCTGACAGAATTAGCGGTGGCGAAATTCTAATAATTTTCTAAGGAGTGGCAAATAAGAAATGTGACGGAAAGTTAAAAGTTACAAGAGAAAAACCTGTCAGAAATAGGGGATACAAGCACCATCAAATAATGATAAAGAAGACACCTACAATAATGACGAACGGAGTTAACATAAAATGACAACTGGCATTAACGTCAGATACAGTCAGTGTGATGTTAGGTATTTAGTAATCAAATACTGATTGCTCTATCACCCATAATGTGACGAAAGAAAGTGGGTCTGCATTCTCAGTGCATCTGCCTCTACTGCAACGAAATGAATTGCAAATCTGATAACCGAATGCGTTCCGGGTTAAACATAAGAATACAGTAGTAAGGGGCAATAATACACAGATATAAGGAACACTGAAAAAAAATTCTAGAGGAGAGGAATAAAGTGGGTTATAACACTCGACAGTGGAATGACAAATTCGCAAGATGCTCTCGAAGCGAAGACTGCCCGGTACCGTGTCAGGGTGAAGCGAGTAGATAGTAAAGCGGTCCATCGCAGGCAGCAGGCTCGTCGGCAGCGGGGCTGTTCGCAGCCGATACTAGAGTGGAAGCAGGAGCCGGAAGTTGGGAGCGCGGAAAAATGGTCACGCGGAAGGGAAAGCGCGCCAGCGACGTATGGGGCAGAGGGGGGGGGGGGGAGGGGCAGACCCAGGGGCGAGCGGGCGGGGGCGAGCGGGCGGCGCGCGGGCGGGCGCGGGCGGGCGGGCGCGGCGGCGGGCGCGGGCGGCGCGGGCGGGCGCGGCGGCGCGGCGGGCGCGGCGCGGGCGCGGGCGGGCGCGGGCGGGCGCGGCGGGCGCGGGCGGGCGCGGGCGGGCGGCGGAGCTTTGTCGAGCCGGCGGAAGAGGCTACCTTGCGGCTTACGGGGCCTCTTCGCCCGAGGGCCCCGCCCCCGCCCCGCCCCGGCCGCCGCTTTCCTGCTCGCTCCAACGGCGCGAGCGGTCGGCGGGCTAAGCACGGAGTAAGTACTGGCGAGGGCCCGCGCTCGCCTCTCCACCGGCACCGGGAGGATCGCCGGGCGATACACTTGCATGCGGCGCCACCGCCCGCCGCCGGCGGACGGACTTGCCAGAGTAGCATTTAGAAACGTGCGCGCTGCAAATCTGCGAGCGTATTGTGAAGCTTAGTCGGCATGGAAAGCTGAAAATGTATCAAAACGTCGATCAGAGATCGATTTCGGAATATGTATGTATCGTACCCAGCCGAAACGCCTAATCCGCTTTTGTCGCGGATTCAAGCTCATGTTCTGCTGTTGAATATTGTATTCTCCCTGTAAAGACTTTCTTCGATTTTCAATTTGTGGGTATGAAAGGTACGGTTCTGTTTTTTTTGAAATGATTATTACATTACTTATGTAATGAGAACGTAACAACCAAAACAAAATTCTTATTGAATTTAAGTGCTACCTTAAAAATTTTTAATTATAAAATTGAGCGAAATATTTGTGAAAATGTGAAAAACTTCCAAAATCAAATCTTCTATATCGAGATAGACTAAATCACCAAAGAGAACATTCACAAAATATTCCATATATTTCGACTGTCCAAAAGACTTATACACAGCTATCGCATCATGAAGTGCAAACTTCAAAAGTTAAATGTAGAAAAACTATAAGATAGGTTTGATGTCCTAACGACGTGCTGTATTACGAATAGTAAGTACTTACAGTAGATGTAACTTGATTTACTAGAATTATTATATATAAAGGGCAACAGAAATTCTATCAACTTGCGCTTGGAAAAGGATGATTTCACATCATTTCTTCATTTGATGTGAAGTGTGGAAGTGTAGTGCGTATACGATTAAGTGTGTGTAAACGATGAGGACTTAACAGGACAAGGAATAGGAAAGGAAGTTCGCGCGCGGTTAATAGTCCGTTTGTTAAGGTACAGCTCCGGCAATCGCCTGGCGTTGAGCGGAGAAACCACGAAAAACTACCGGCCAGCGCAGCCGGTCGCTACAATTCTCCTCCAGACAGATGCTGAATTTGACCGAGCTGTCTGGCCATTGTCAAAAATCCTGCCACCGTCGAGAGTCCAACAGTAGGTTCCCCCGGGTCAGAGGAACTGCACTGACATCAATTAATGCCCTGAGCCATCTATGCCGGTACGAAGATTCGAAGTCGAAGTGCATTCAGTGACACAAAAAATAAGAAAACAAGGACTGTGGGTTTGGTGGTATAATGATTAGGATGTTATATCTAATTTCGCGGGTACAAACGCGATTGGAGACATGGATTTTTAAATGAGAAAAAAATATTCGTACGCCTTCCTTGGGAGAGGAAGTAAAGCCGGCTGTCCCATGCTGTAGATTTATTGCTTGTAAAAGATTCTCAGACTCAAAAGAAGACGGACCAAAAATCATATCGCCTGTTTCGTCATGTGATACCTCCTTCCTCCGCCAGATGGTCAAAAGACCGTAGCGAAATTTGCGTGGTCAGGCGGAAGAGCAGCCCTGATGGTCTGAAAACAGGCGAAGCGAGCACTCACCGCCCGCTGCCACCGGCGCCGCAGCGTCCGCCGCTCGCGCTGGGAGGCACGGCCACGGGAGGCTGCAGCCGCCGCTGCTAGCAGCGCCTCCGCCCGCGCAGCCGCAGCAGACGGTCACCTGCAACGACACGGCGGGCCGCGTTCGCATCACCGCTCGCCCACGCACCAATCGCTCCATATCATCCCCGCCGCTTTTGCAATAACCTTGCGTTGCCCGCTCCATTCACGCGTGTGTACACGCCTGCGGCGGAGGACGCTGCGAATGTGAATGTTGTGAAATGTCTTAAGTTGCAGAAACGACACGTTTATTAAACTCTATGGTTACCGGAGACATTTTGTGAACATATATATGGATGGTTAAAAAGGCGTTATCTTCCACGATAAAAATTTACTGTGGAAAATAATTTCTTTTTACCCATCCAGATACATTTATTCTCGTATTCGTAGAATGGGTAATATTATGGAGTCCAAAATGAATGTATTACTGTTATTTATTAAATTTATTCTTTCAATCTTGCAAATATTTCAAGCGCCTTCTGTATTTTCAATTCTCACACTTCATACAGCAATTCGCAAAATATTTCTTAAAATCTAAATAAGAAATTAAGCCGACCTTAAAATGAGTTGAGTTTAATAACTGTATGGAAAATAAATAAGAATTTTAACAATTCATAAGTCATACAAACACATTAAACAGTCTTTAAAAATGTAATAAAATAAAACCAAATAATAATTTGAAACCGCATATTGGTATCAATCTATTGGCAATCTACATTCCAGAGGCGATAACTTCAACATATCTACTCGTATATAGTGTGCGGCTGTTGTTACCGATTCCAATTTTCGTCAAGGTTCAAGAATCTCAACGTCTCAAGGCACAACTGCCCAGTTTGCGCCCCCCCCCCTTCCCCGCCCAACCTGAAAAGAAGGCTAACGAACGCCTGAGGCCTCGCAGCTCACGCCGCCGGTGACGCTGAAATATTCTAAGATTTATTTTCAATTACGCCTCTAATTCATATCGAGCGCGTGAGATTTCGGGGCAAAGTCGGCGCTGCGAGCTCGTTACCGCTCGGGGCCCTAATTACCAGCCTGCGCACCTGGACGAGGGGACAATGCCGGAGAGGGGGGCTCCCTATTTTTCTGCGCCCATAACTCAGCGGGCCGCCGCCACCGCCGCCGGCTCCCCCTCGCTGCCTTCCGGCACAAAGAGGCCGCTTGACAAAGGCGGCCCCCGCGGCGGTGACGGTGGCGGTGGCGGTGATGGTAGTGGTGACGATGGTGGTGATGGTAGCGGTGACGGTGACGGTGGCGGTGATGGTAGTGATGGTAGTGGTGATGGTAGTGGTGATGGTAGTGGTGACTGTGACGGTGGCGGTGGCGGTGACGGTGGCGGTGACGGTGGCGGTGACGGTGGCGGTGACGGTGGCGGTGATGTCGGTGGTGGTACGAGCTCTAGTGGTAGTGCTGCTGGAGGAGATGGTGGCAGTAGTTGCAGTGGCGGAAGTACTGGTGGTTGGAAGGGGAGGGGGGCGGCGGAAGCGACGACGTTGACAGAGGGCGTGGTGGCAAGGGCTATGCGATCATGAGGTTTCTACAAAACCATCTCGATCAAATTTCAGACTGTTCCAATAAATGGCGAATCAAATTAAACCCCACTAAAGGCCAAGCCAAACTCTACTTTGCGCAGACCTCCACTTCTGCTAAACGTTACGTTCAATTCCAGTATGCTTACTAACTAGCACCCTGGTCACTGCACTTTGATCTTATGCTAAAACGGAAACCGCACATGAAAGACCCACCTTAGCCACTCAACTCCATTCCATTCTCCACCCAACTTCTCCCCTCTCTCTCTCTCTCTCTCTCTCTATAAAAAGGAAAAAGGAAAAAAGAAATCGCTCGGACGCGCTGCTCCAGCCACCCCCACCCCGGCACCCACCTCCTCGCGCAGCGCGCGCCCGCGCCGCGCCGCGCCGCGCCGCCGCGCAGTCGAGGCGAGCGAACACCGCTTATTTCTCGCGTGAACTTTATCTCGTTTGGCTTCTCTCAACTAATTTAATGCCTGTTATTTCTTGCTTTTTATCTGTCTTATAATAACTCCCTCTCCCTTCTTTCTCTTCGGCCCATTCACATAAAAGTGACTGACGTCAAGCGCCCGGCCCGGTCGCCGCGCGCAGCACATCTGACGCGCGGGAGGGCGTGAGGGCTAGCGGGAACTTGACGCACGCGTGGCCTCGCGTTGCTGGCACCCGCTTGCCAGCCTCCCCAGTCCGGACCCGATAAGAGCAACTATTAAGCCTAATGAATAAATTTGTAGTGTATAACAAGAACAAAAATTACAAGCGCTGGCGTTTGCGTTCCATTACTCCGCGACGGAAAGCCGGCCCTCGCAGAGGGGAAGAGGAACGCGCATCACCGGCGCGTTTCGGCCGCCACTCCGCGGTAATACATTTGACAACAGCCGCGCGGCGCGGTGGCGGCACCTCCGCGTGCCGCCCCTCTCCCCCACCTCCTCCCCCCCACGACGCCCCTCCGCGGAAGAGAGCGCGCGCGGTGCTGCGGGGGTGCCTCCGAACAGTCCTCGCGCGCACACGCGGAAGGCTGGGCCTCGGCCCAGAAACACGCAAATAAAGCGGAGGAGGCTTATTCGGCCATATAAATTAGGCGGGGCGCGGTAGTCGCGTCTAGATTTCGTTGCCTGGGGCGCGCCCCACCTCTCTTTGAAGGCGCGTCAACGTACGACGTGTCCGGGGGGAAGGATAAAGCTGCAAGCTCGGTGTTGATAGAGGGAATAGGAATCGAGTAGCTGCGGTTGTAAGTGCTTCACTTTTCGTTTGCTGGTTGAGAGACTGATTTTCAACCAGTCATTGGATTTATCCCGGGGGTCAATTGGCGATCATCATACTGGTTGGGGAAACTTATTGTTTCAGTAAGGATGTGTTTATCAATCGTTACTTTGTTGCCAAACGTTCCGATCATTCAGATACTCATCCCACGGGAGTTGACATACATGGTGGGTGGAAGGTTTTAAGATATAAAGAGAAATGTCAATCAATAAAGTATTCCATTTTTAATGCGATGGAAAATTAAAGAAAATGTATTTCAATGCCGGAGAAGGCAATTAGTAAACATAATCCAGCGATGATTACCCCCTTTTTTAAGGTGAGGAATAAGTCCCGGTATTCGACAATAAGTTCGTAAAACGTTGTTTGTAATCTTAAACCACTGACATTCCGGGACCAATTTGTGGTATGTATACAAATTCATTTACGTAATGTACTACTTACATTTCCACTTATAATGCACAGTAATGCTTATGAGTACAATTCAATTATAAACAGTTTCTGAATTAAATTAATGGCATTTTTAAGATAGTTTCTGTAATTGGTTTGAAATCCCATGTTTGTTTAATTTCTGTAGGCACAAATAATTAACATCAGGCAAATTCTGGGAAGGTTATCCATAGCATTTTGTGTTGAGCAACTGAATGAGCAGACAAAAAAAAATAGCGTTGACTTTTAAAAATTTAAATGTTGAAGATCTTTTTCAACTGAAAAATCACAGAGTTGCGTGCACGCTATCAATAGTTTGCTCAACCATTGCAATATTCTTCCATAATTCACTACAGCTCGCTTTTCATGTACTATTTCAGGCAAGGAGAACTTTTTCAAAGGTATTCGTGGTGTTCTACTACAGGATATTTTAAGTAAAAAACACCAAAGAATACTCGTTTAATGTTTGCCGATTGCTTCTCAGCAGGGAGGATTTCTTCCAAGCTTCTGACCAGGGGGGACCTAAAGGTCAAGTCCGCGGACGCGGCAGGGGATTCACATCAAGCTTGTTCAGCAAGGTCGATTCAGCCGATGTACTGAGCATAATGGCTAGCGGCCGACTAGCTCTGATCGATAGTTTTCCGTGGCTTGCACCAAGGGAATGCTGGAACACTACCTAACGAATGGACTCTTCAACGCCTAACCTACACACACACACAAGTATAAACACTACATAAATACCGGGAGCTCTGAAACCTGATCCCGGCTGCGGGGTGCCCCGCTGGTGAGTGATACCTTGACGGGAAAACTCTCTCTGACCGGACCGTGTAGGGATTTTCGCCATCCACAGAAAGAAGAATAATGCGACCTCCCCACGATAAAAAACATGCACACATTTACGTACTAATGTCATTAACCGCTGACATCGCCGAAAACACTAAGTAATCAAACTTAAACGAATAGGCCTCCTTACACAACTTACAAGTCTCACAAACGAAATTTACATTTTCACCACCCTCCCATCTTCCACTTGAAAACAGGTGCCCCTTTCCGAGCCCCCGTGCCTCGGGGGCCCGTGCTTCTCGACATTCTTTATTCTGACGAGGCGCCGCGGAAGGACGATACTAATTTAGGAGGCGTGATTAAAATTGCGAGGTGCGCCGCGTACGTTTTCTGAATGCAGGCGGCGCGTGCGTGCGATAGCTCCAATAAAACGGCGTTATCTGCGGAATTACTCGTGTTTATTCCCGGCCAAATGCGCGCCGATTGGAGCTGGGCCACCGCCACGTGCGCGGCCGCCGCCGCCGGCATTCAACTGGGCGAGGGCGAAGGGAAAGAGCGAGGGCGCTTGGCGAGGGGCGTGCAGGGCGCGGGTGGAAGAAAGGGACAATTGGGCGAACGGAACAGGACAGCAGAAAGACCGTGGGTTTATGGTGGGTGGGTGAGGAAGAAGGGAACGACTGTGGGTGGGATGCGGTTGGGAAGCTCGAGGCAGCCCAAGAGATGCAGAGTGGAGATGGTGAGGGCGTGGATAGTGGGACACGTACGCGAGCGGCCGAACAACGAGGTGTGGATGGACTAACCGGAGAACAGGTGTAAGCGAAGGGGCGCTAGTGAGGATACGTGTGTGTGTGTGAAGACCGTGAGCCGTGCGAGTGGCAAACGCAAGAAGTAGTGTGGCACAGAAAGAACCGAAAGCGAGTGAGGAAATGATAGCGGGCACGTAAGAGAGAAAAGACGGAGTGAATGTGTCAACCGAGAGGGTGAGTGTGAGAGAGGAAAATCGGGGTGCGGGAGGGAACGGGGGCGGTGGCGGGTGGCCAGAGAGTTGGACAGTAGGCGAAATGTGTGACGGAACGGAAGGCAAAAGCGGCAGGGCTGCAAGGGGCAGGACGGGGCGAACGAGGTCGAGCGGAGGTGGCAACGTGCCGAAAAACAACGTAGTTTAGGGGTT